GGATATTCGGGCTTCCTTCGGTGCTGTTCTAGCTATCTATCGAATAGCGTCATCCTCTGGGTTCGAGACAGCTGTCAAGTTTATATCTTAAAATTGGTGAAACTAACTCATATGATTGAAAGTTTCTCTTTTGGTACTTTACATTTTCATCTACTAAAAATATATGCTAATTTCCTTTCTCCAGTATCTAATGATCGCTAGGTCTGATTTTGCCGAAAACGGATTGGTTGAAGTTCAGATTTGCTAAGATTTGACAAAATTGCGTGCTTTCTTTTGTTATTGTCTACGTTGAAAGAAAACGAGTTATTTGCTGCTGCAAAAGACAAAACACCATACAAGTGTACGAGTCTGTTTCTTGTAATGTTAAGTCATACCATACAGATGTACACTAAATATGTGCCTATGAGGGTAGCAATCGCAACTAAGTTCTTTGAAAATGTTAATTTATTGAATGTATTAAAATACTATTTTCAAGCGTAAAATTCCAGGCATAGACTTCACATTAGTTGATACTTGTCTGAAATTCACTTAGTTTTTTTCTTTCAGGTTCTTGGAAAGGGACTTCTTCCGAAACAACCCCTCATCGTTAAGGCTAAATATTTCTCCCACGAGGCCGAGAACAAGATCAAAGAAGCTGGAGGAGCCTGTATTTTGGTCGCATAAGCTGCCGTTGTTGATTTTGTACCTTTTTGAACAAAGTCATATAAAATTATGTTGTTCTCATTTGGCTATGAAACGTCACGGTTCTTTCCGTGCTGTACTTCTGTATTTCTGGTCCTTTACGTTACTTTGTATTGGGAAGCATACTTTGATGCTTTGTTTCAGCCGTTTGAGCGCTTGTCCTCTGTTGGAGCTAAGGCAACTTGCAACTTGCACTCGAGATGGCTTTGAACCAGGAAATGGCTTGCGTTTATGCTGCGCTCATCCTTCAAGACGATGAAGTCGCTATTACCGGAGACAAGATCGCAACTCTCCTCAAGGCTGCCCACGTTGAATTTGAGCCTTTCTGGCCCGGACTTTTCGCCAAGGCTGTTGAAGGAATTGACATCAAGGTTTGTCGTAAAGATATTTTGAATCTGTTTTGAACTACCTTCTTTCTTGGCGCTCCTATCGTATCCAGGTAGAAGTGTATGTAAAAGAAGGGAAATAATGCCCGCTAGGGTATTCGGATCTCCTTCGGTGCTGTTTTAGTGAATCTTATCGAATAGCGTCATCCTCTGGGTTCGAGACATCTAATTTCCTCAAAAATATCTAGACCCTTGTCCAACTAGATTTTTGGCAGCAGTATTTTCCTAATAATATCTTAGACCATATTTATGTTACTACCAACCTCTTTTAAGAACTTGATCACCTCCGTCTCATCCGGAGCTGGATCAGCCCCTGCTGCTCCATCAGCTGCTGGTGAAGCAGCTCCAGCTGGAGGTGCCGCCCCTGCCCCAGCTGCCGAGACTAAGAAGAAGGAGGAGCCTAAGGAGGAGTCCGATGATGACATGGGATTCGGTCTGTTCGACTAAGCTATTCCTATCCGTTGTTTGTTGTTGATAAAGTTGTTATTCATCAGTTTTATTGGCAAACAAACAAATAATAACCCGCTTAATGAATTTGACTGAATCTTGCATCACAAGTCTA